GGCCAGCTCACAGCAACCTCAAAACCCTGGGCTCAAGCGATCCTTCCTGGCCTCAGCCCTCCCGGATAGCTGGGACTGTAGTTAACCACCATGCCCGGGGGCTATTTTTTTATATATTATTAGCTTGGGCCAACGTTAATTTCTTTCCTATTTATAGTAGAGGACGGGGTCATTTTTCACTTCTTTGCTTTTAGGTTGTGTATTACTCTGACCTCGAGCAATCGCACTTCCCGCGCTTCAGCCTTTTGTAGTGGCTAGGATTACAGTGGTGTGAGCCAGCCTTTTCGCTTTCGCGCTCATAGGATTAATCTTTTGCGTGGGGCAGACCATAGTTTAGGTCTAATTGTGATGTTTGCCTTGGTCACTTCCCACAATTTTTACGGAGTCCTTGGATGCGCGTGGCGAATCAGCCTAACACAGGCGGTGTTTATGGCTGGGCACGGGTTGGCTCTCCCAGTCCTGGTAGATCCTAGCCACTCTGTGGGGAGGCTGAGAGCGGGCAGATTGCTCCCGGTGCAGGATGCAAAATCAGCGCTGACAAGAGCAGACCCCGTCTCTACTTATAATAAAAGAATTAATTGGGCAATGACTATATAAGTATATAGACAAATGTACCGGGCATCGGTGCGACATTGCCTGCTAGTCCCAGCTACTCGGGAGGCTGAGGCAGGAGGATCGCTTGGAGCCCAGGAGTTGAGGTTGCTGTGAGTAGGCTGTACGCCATGGCATCCACTCTATTTTTTTTTTTTTTTTTTCCTTCCTTGTGTTCTTTTTTTGTTTCTTGTTTCCTCCCTTGCTTTTTTTTTTTGTCTGGGGCAACAAAACAAACAAAAAACAGCAGGTGTTTGTGTGTGATCCTTATATATGTCGGATGTTAGTTAAAGGTGGGGTGAGAATATACGTCTGGTAATAGGGAGGGCCAGGTGGCGAACAATTCGATGGGTCCTAGAGACTTGACCACAAAGAGAACGACCGGAGGAAAGGGCTCTCATTAGAAGTCAAACCTCTCATGGCAAGGTCAGGAAAAGTAGCAGATGGATGACAGCAATAGAACAAATCCCTGTGGTGCCATCCTTTTAAGCTGTTTCCTGGTCCCAGTCGAGTTCCCTCCTGGGGCTGATACCACTGCATTCTAGCCCAGGTGACAGAGTGAGACTCTTGTCTCAAAAAAAACAACAAAAAAAGATGTCCTATAAGAGTTGCTTGTTCAGGTACAAAAAGGAACTAGTCTTCTAGCATCATGGTGGCACTAAAAGAATGATCTTCTCTCTCTGCCCCTCCTTCCCTTGAATCTCCCGTGTCATTGATAGAGGCTGGAATGAAATGGCTTTAAGATTTTAATGTTTCAAACCCCTACTGATTTATCATCAACTTCGATCCCCTGCCTCCTATTTGGCGTTTCCCTTCCAGAGGTAGATATGCCTGATCATGAGCCCACCAACCTGCCTAGCTTTCACCACCAGCCTCACGCAGCTCACCTCAAACCCCATGCTTTTCAGAATTATCTTCTGGTCCATCTGTCCTTCCAAGAGCCGGCCCAGCAAGACGAAGCTGGTGCAGGACTGAGGCATCCCCTCGGGGTTGTAGCCCAGCTCCACTTGCCCCTTCTGCAGGGAGTACTTCCCGTCCACGAGGGAGCCCGTCAGCACCTGCACTCTGCTCAGGTTTGCTGGCTGGTTCAGGATCACGGTCAGGTGTTTCCCTGTACTAACGTTGTACGTCCAGAAGAATGACTCGTCCAGGGTGTAGGCCTCCCAGGGCTGATGAACAGCAAAGACATTCATGTCTGTGAAAACGGCTCCAGGTGGGTTGTCGGGACCAGAGGCTCTCCTGTTCTGAAATGCTGTGGCCTTCTGCTTGTCATCAGTGGCCTCATAGGGGACCCTGTGGTAGAATAGGAAGGGTCTGAAGATGATTGGCTCTTGCTGGGTGAGGAGGGCACGGAAATGAGAGATCAGCCTGTCGAGGGGTTTCTCCTTGTGGAAGAGGAGAAGGAAGTGGGCCAGGAGCGGGAGATCCTTGCTGTGGAGGAATTTGCCAAGGAAGCCCCTGTTCGAGAACTCCAGTAGCACCCAGGGCTTGTGCTTCATGGCAGTCACCTTCGAACGAATGTGGGTGACAAAGTTGGGGGCAATAAAGACATTGTCCTCTAGTAGCAGGAAGTAATCAGAGAGCCCTGTGGCATAGCTCACGAGGAAGGCGTGATCTATGTTGTGCTTGGAGTAGAACTCCTCGAGGTCGGCCTTGCCATCCGCAGTGGGGTAGGCGTCCGGTGGAGCGTGGATAAGTAGCAGCTGCCCTGCCACAATCTGTGGGCTAAAGAGGTTTGAAATGTGGGCAACAGTTTCTCTGAGCCAGGTGAGATCAGAATCTGCCAGGTGAACTACCACGGTGAGATGTTTCCGCTCAGTCTTAGAAGAAATGTGGAACAGGGAGATCAACGTGGTCAAGAGCCTGCTTCCATTCCCTTGTGACAGCGAGGAGATCCCCACTGTCAGCCACGCTAAAGAGGGGTAAGACAGGGACAACCGTCAGTGTGCAGTAGTGGTGAGGGCTGTCGAAAGGGTCAGGGGCTGGGACGCTATTTGGGACCTTCTCTTCCTTTCTTCCCTCTCTCGTGTCCTTGCTACACAAAGTGTGGCCCCCAGTCCAGCAACATCAGCCGCAACTGCGAGCTCATTAGAGACACAGAATCTCAGCCCCTCCCTCAGATCTGGTTAATCAGAATGTGCATCTTAACCGTAATCACCTGGCGACTCGCAGGTACGTTACAGTATGAGAGGTACTGAGGTGATTTTGAGTCCCTGTGGGTCCCTCTGAGTCTTCCTTGAGCCTAGAACTTTGTGGCACATGGTTTAAGTGCTCGGCAAAGATCAGCTATTATTATAGTTATTAGAATTCTTTTTTGTTTTTATTCATCTTCCCAACGTTCTTCTTTGAAGAAAGCATATTAGAAAAAAGGACTTCCTCTAGAAGTCAGGAGCCCAAGGTTCTCATCCAAGTTCTGCCACAGACCGTGTGCCCTTGAGCAAGTCCCTTCAGCCCTGTGTTTTTAGTTCCTCGGGGAGGAACTAAAGAGAGTTGGACTATGTGATCCTAGGACCTCTTCTAATCCAAATGCTCGCTAATCCAATGATTCCACCTTCTTTTCTTTCTTTCTTTGAGACAGAATCTCACCCTAGGCTAGAGTGCCGTGGCGTCAGCCTCGCTCACAGCAACCTCAAACTCCTGGGCTCAAGCAATCCTCCTGCCTCAGCCTCCCGAGTAGCTGGGACTGTTACAGGTGCATGCCACCACGCCTGGCTAATTTTTTTCTATTTTTAGTAGAGACAGGGTCTCACTCTTGCTCAGGTTGATGTTGAACTCCTGAGCTTAATCTTCTTCCTGCCTCGGCCTCCCAGAGTGCTAGGATTACAGGCGTGAGCCACGGTGCCCGGGCCGACTCCACATACCCCTGATATAGAAATGTCTTGGGGAAGGGAAAGAGAATTGTCCGCCAGATTGAAATATTCCTGGGCACAATTCTGCCTTTTCTCCTCCCCCTTTCTTCTTTTCTTCCTAGCCACCTGACCTCTCCTGCTGCCCCTACTTCCCCTGGGACACTCAAACCCTCCCTCTCCTTGGTACTCACTCCTTTTTCTCCTCTGGATTTTTTCCATATATTTTAAGGTGATATTCTGCCAGTCTTCTAGTTGTCTCAGGTCCTTCCTGCTGCCATGACTGGCCTGCTGGGGCATTGACAAAGGTAAGACATATACATCCTTTCAGAAAGAGAACAGGGTTCATCCCCCACTGGCTTCCCATACGCTTTTCTGGAAAACAGGTGGAGTGGGTCACTCTTCCTAGGGTGAGCCCAGCACATTCTCAGGATGCCTGACCATTGGCAGAAATATCTAGGGCTCAAGCAGTATTCGTTCTCTTCTTTACCTTAACACACATGAAAAATAATTGCACCTTCTTTAGGGACTAGCGGGTCTAGGTCCATACCCCAATTTCCCCGTGGAGCTTCCTGCTCTCAGTTAAAAGGTGCAGGAAGCAGGAAAGCCCAGGTGCTTTGGAGGATCTGCCTAGGCACACCATTTCCACCCTAGATCACCAATTCCCAAGCTTAGCAAGAGCTGCTACTTGGCCTTTGATAGTCATCGCTTCTTGGTCATCTTCAGTTTCCTGGAGGACTTGCATAGTGATGAAGAGCCACAGGAATAGGATGCTCACTGAGGTTATCAGACATCTCCTGATGGAACACCGCATGACGCGCGCCTCAGGACGTGGTTCCTACAGCAAGACGTCAACATGTACAACTGGAAGACTCTCCCTCCCATCCCATCCATGCTCAGAACTTCCCTTCCGTCCCCATTTCTATCCATCCTCATCACGGTTAACTTATTTCCAAGTGCAACCTTTTATCTGATCTAGGAACCTGGGGCAATGGAGCCTTATTCCCTGCCTAAAGAAGGAAGGTCACCTGTCCTGTGATGACAGTTGCTAAGTTTGTCTGGAGATTCAACTTTTCCAAAGCCTCCGCTACTCAAAATGATGCAGGTTGGCTGGGGCTTTAGTGTTATGGCCAGTTTATCTGAGAAAACAGATGGTCATTGTACCTCCACTTTTTTTTTTTTTTTTAGAGATGGGGTCTTGCTGTGTTGCTCAGGCTGGTCTCCAACTCTCCTGGCCTCAAGCAATCCTCTCATGTTACTGAGATTACAGGCCCAGCTGCTCTTTTTTTTTTTGGAGACAGAGTCTCTCTGTGTTGCCCAGGCTAGACTGCAGTCATGTCGTCATAGCTCACTACAACCTCAAACTCCTGGGCTCAAGCAATCCTCCTGCCTCAGCCTCCCAAGTAGCTGGGACTACAGGCATGCACCACCATGCCCAGCTAATGTGTCTTATTTTTGGTAGAGATGGGGTCTTGCTAAGTTGCCAGGCCCGGAACTGCGGGCTGACACCTGTAATCCTATCACTCTGGGAGGCCAAATCTCTGGGAGGTAGGATCACTTGAGGTCAGGAGTTCAAGACCATCGTGACCAAGAGTGAGGACCCTGTCTCTACTAAAAATAGAAAAAAATTAGCCAGGTGAAGTGGCACCTGTAGTCCCAGCTACTCGGGAGGCTGAGACATGAGGATTGCTTGAGCCCAGGAGTTTGAGGTTGCTGTGAGCTAGGCTGACGCCACGGCACTCTAGCCCAGGCCATAGAGTGAGACTCTGTCTCAAAAAAGAAAATAAATAAATAAAATAACCGAACTTGAAATGTTGCTAAGTGTTATGTCACATTGACATGTCTTTCTTTTTTTATAAAGGATATCCTTAATTTAGTCTAATCTTTAATATGATCCACAGACCTTGATTAGAATATGATTCTGTTAACAAAGTTAAAAAGAATCCTTTCATGAGTGTTGGGTTATCGGAATTCAGGCTGGCTCAGCCTCAAAAGTGCTTGTGTGCTGCTCTCCCTCTCTGTTAGTGTCTTTGCTCTAGTGAGAATGTGTCTCTGATTGCTCCTAGATTATCAGAGGAAGAGCTTTAATATACCTTGTCACCTGCTCTGGATTCTCTCCTTGCGTGCCCGGTACACAAGAGAAAAGAAATTGTGATCAGTAATTTCTGTGCTCCTGAGGCCATACTAATCTCCCCCAATTTCAGGGATGCCTTCCGGTTTAGTATTTTTTTTTTTTTTTTTTTTTATAAAGCTAGTCAAGCGTGGTTGTAGGGGGAGACAATGTTAAATCAGCTTAACAATAACCCACAACCCTCGGACCAACTTGGTTTAGTATTTTTAGTGGAGGTTAACATGTTTCTCTCCCTTAGCCATTTAGTTTGTTGATACCAGCTATACCAGCAATACTTATATATAATAGTAAGGCTTTACAAATTGAGCTTTTCTTTACCTGGTTTCCTTAAGCAAAGACTTTTCGTTGCATAGGTGATTCCAATAGAAACCTCTTTATGTGAAAGAAATAGACTTCTCTCTTCTAGACCGTAAATACGTAGATACAACACTGAATGAAACGGGCTGTGAATCAGTTAAAGCAATGGCACGCCATGCAAGGCCACAGGCCCAGCTCTATTCCCCCTCAAATGTGCCTCCCGTGGGTTCACCAGTTCAGCCAATGGCACGGACTGCTCCCCATTCAGGCCCGCGGAGTTCCACAGCTTCTGGAAGAAGGCAAGGAGAGAGGAATAGAAGGAGCCCCTGGTTGATAGGCTTAGTCCCAGCCTAAAGGAATAATGAGGCAACGGTGAGCCCAGGCACAGCCAAACTAAGGTCCTCCCCCACGTTTCTACCCTCTGGCTGAGCTCCCCTCCGTGATGTTACTGCTGTGTCCTACCCACCTGGCTCGCCCCATGCATCAGAGCTGCGCAACAGGCCTGGCCTGCGCATGCACGCGTGAACCTCATAATGACAGCTGAACCCAAAACCAGCATCCTAAAGACCGGCCCCAATCCAAAAAGTTAATATTTTTTTTTGAGAACCAGAGTCCCGCTTTGTTTGGCCCCAGGCTAGAGTGAGTGCCGTGGCAATCCAGCCTACGCTCAACAGGCAACGCTCCAAACTCCTGGCTCCCAAGCGATCCTCCTGCCTCAGCTCCCCGAGTAAGCTGGACCTAACAGGCATGCGCCACACCATGCCCGATGATTTTAATATATACTAGTTGGTCCAACTAGATTCTTTCTATTTATGTAGAGACGGGGTCTCGCTCCCTTGCTCAGCCTGGTTTCAACTCCCTACCTGGAGCAATCCCCCGCCCGCCTCGGCCTCCCAGAGAGCTAGGATTACGCGCCCGGCCAGTATCTTTTAACAGAGAACACAGAGACCAAGAACTGTCACCTTCTGTCCGCCACCGACATCGCTCCACTTCCTTGCATCTCTGCTACGATTCCCCCTCCTCAACGTTTCCACCTGACAACTGAGGCCCCCTGACGCCCTACTCTCA